ACAGCATTAGGATAAGGGGTCCAGGTCAGCATAGAGGCTGAACCAGGCAGTCAAGTCCGAGACAGCTTTGGCAGGCTCTTTCAGTGCAGATCTGTTGTCATTTGAATTGCTTGTCTTTGGTGCTGGCCATTGGGTATGAGGACTGACATTGCTCTCTGACCAGTCTGATATTCAAAACGAAAGGACATTAGATCCAACAAGAACAGCCACAACACCCCACAGGCTGCTGGCCACATATATGGTTGTAACCCATGGTGGCCTCCAGCAAGAGGCAGAGGATGGTATGACAAGATCTTTCTCTCATCTTACTCAGACTGGGAAACATTTGAGGGAACCGGAGAAGCATCGGATCATATCCAGTTGGATACCTGGCAAACTAAGGAAGACAGTGGACTTTGAACAGCCACCAAGAAGCATTGTTTTGCTTTTTTGTTTCATACCCATTTTCTTGCCGAGTATGATGATTTCATAACCACACCAAAAACATTAGAAAATCAAGAGCCATGGTTTCCTGTCACAAATGGGGAAAGCTTAAAATTGAATGAACATAGCAATAGAACTAGTAACCACACACACATTTCTACCAAGAGGGTCATGTTTATCTATTTTCTGTACATTTGGGAAGTTGAATTAATACAGTTAAATAAATAACACTCCGTCCCAATGATGTGTGGGGAGAGCTTACATGAACATTAACTTTATGCCATACCTTGCAATGTTGAGATATGCTTTTTATAATGCACCCAAAGGTGAATATCACCCCATATATCCGAGGTCCATGTGGGTATGTGCCCAAAAGTTTGATATGAGAAGTACAAATTTATTTTCTGAAGCATGGAGTACCTGATAGTCATTTTCTCCAGGTAGAATAAAATCTTTTATCTTACCACTGATGAAATTATCTGGTTTTCTTGATCCTGTGAAAATTTCTATAGCCATTTTTTAATTTTTTAGTTACCATATTTCCAAGTCTTTTTAATATCATGTTATCCTTTTATAGGAGTGGTTCATACAGTTTTTGCTTAATTTTTCATAGGATGTTAAGTACTTATAATGAACTATGGAAAAAATGGATGTTTTCCAAAATGGATCTTGGATGAAAGCCAAAACTTTAGTTAATTTGAAGAATTAGTGTCATTTGTTTACTTAATAGACCCAATTTTATAAATAGATTAAAATATTTGTCCATTGAATTGAATTCCATGATCTCTATGAAATGTAGCAGGAATACCTCAAGAAGGACTAATTCTTTTAAAGAGAATTCTATACAGCAATGCCTATCCAGCAAGTGAAGGCCTTACCCAATGGGAAAACATAAAAATAAATCTAATCACAAATTTTAAATTTCTCTTTTAGTAAATGGAAAATAAAAAATCCTTTGTGTTCTAGATCAGTCTTTAAATTTTTTTGAGATCATAACTCAGAGACAGTGCTTAAAATCTTAATGTAACAGAACCAGTAGTGTTGTTATTTAATATCCTTTAACTATAATCGGGTTAGTTATAAGTATGTTCATTTTCTGTGAACCTTTCTGCAACACACTGGCATTCTGAAGATACATCACTTAGGAACCCAAGGTACATTTTAATACGTAAAGTGATTTTGTGTCCTATGATTTACATTTCCCATGAGTATTACACAAATCAAGTCCTTTCTCCTTTAGAAACTGTTTTGGAAAGAAATCTATCAAAGTCTGTGTATCTTGCATTTAAATATGTAACTTAATGAAATTTTTATCTTAAGACTCTAATGAGTACTGTTTTATATAAACAAATAGGATTTTCAAGTTTTTTGAAACACTTAATAGACCCAAAGATACCATCTTAATAGATTTTAAGAAGTTCAGAAAACCCATGTTTATAAAGCAATGTGTTTATTATCAGGCCTTTTGATATATCACTAAAACACATTCACAAGCATACACAGGTAGATTTTAATTGGCCATGCTAAAGAATTCCAGTGTGAATAAAATGAAAAATTTGAAGTGGCCACAGGTTTTGTTACTTCTTTCTTGGAATATAAAATGAGGAAACAATTATAATTACAAATGACAGAATTACCCGGGTGTGCCTGGTAAAGAGAAGTATAAAGTTACATCCCCAGCTCCTTGAGATGTAAGGAAGCTTTGTAGCCTTAAGGCAATATCTTTTCCTGATGTTGGAAGCCAAAAACAGAAGGTAGAGGCGTGTCCTTACCCAGGGAACCACCTTCCCCAGTGTAACTTTGAGCTAAAGCTGTTTAGTCTGAATCTATAGTGAGGCTAAACCATATCCCAGTGCTTGTTTGCTTATCTAAAAGAAGGGAAAAGAAAAGAAATTCTTGTGTCAAGTATTGTGCACCTGCCCAGTGCCCATCTGGAACATAGATCAGGCAAGTTGACATGAAAGCCTGAAACTCTTACGGCCATTTACCCAGAAGAAAAACATCCAACAACAACAGCAAAAGTCAGGAGAGGAAGGAAGAGGTGAAATCGGTGGACATAGTGATAACAGTTGATGAACAGTTACCTAGGACTGTGACTTAGAAGAGAAACCTAAAAGGTTAGTAGGTAGAAAAAATAGAAGGGTCTGGTGATCAGGGGTCTGGAGGTTGAAGAATAGGAAATTGTGATGCCTCAGAAACCTGTATGAGCAGTCAACTTAAAAATTTTTGATTTTTTGAGTCAGGGTTGCATACAGCCTAGGCTAATCGTGAACTGACTAACTAGCTGAAGATGACCTTGAACTCCTGTTCCTCCTGTCTCTGCTTCCCAGGTTCCGGGATTACAGGTGTCTTGCTACCTCATCTAACTGATTAGTTTTATGAGGGGGAATGGTCAACCAGTAGATATTACAAAGATGTATACTAAAAAGTCTCTTGAAGTCAGTAATTTCAGGGAATATGCTATTGTAAATCAGGTTGTCTCTATGCAGTAGGAGAGAGTGAAGCTGAATTGTGGAGCTTGTGAGAGGAATGAAGAAGTGGACAGGGTTGGGAAAGGGACTTATTGGTAGGGTGATTGGTACAGTGTGAGGCTCTGGTTTCAGTCCCTAGCACTACAAAAAGCCTAACCCATCAATGTTTTAGGAAATTGGGCTATAAAAGCAGGCAGAGGATATCATAGTTAAAGGGAAAGTTGTTTGTTTGTTTATCAAGACAGGATTTCTCTCTGGCTTTGGAGACTGTCCTGGAACTAGCTCTTGTAGACCAGGCTGGTCTCGAACTCACAGAGATCCTCCTGCCTCTGCCTCCCAAGTGCTGGGATTAAAGGCGTGCACCACCAACGCCTGGCTAAGGGAAAGATTTTAAGTATAGGAGAAAACTACAGCAGAGTTGTGCTCATGGCAGAATAAGACAGAGGAGTCTTAAGAATTACTGAAAAACCGTGTTAGGTTCTACAATATGGATAAAATTTAGTTTCAGATGAAACAGCAACAACTTTTCAAACATTTATTTTGCTCACGCAAAATAATGCCTTTGTGCACGCTCATGCGCGTGAGGTGCCTGTAGATGTCAGAAGAGGAGAACATTAGATCTCCTGGAACTAGAGTTATAGGTAGTTATAAACTGCCATGTGGATGCTGGGAACTGAATTCTGGTCCTGCAAGAGCAGTGAATGCTCTTAACCAAGCCATCTCTCCAGCCCCCATAGAATGGCAACTCCTGTGGAAAGGGAAAATGTGACAAGGATGAACTTAGAGGAGTTCATGGGAAATGAGAAGAACTTAAAGGTAGTAGAGATGCTACAAAGGAGTTTTTATAGGACTGATATTTTTATCATTGGTTTTGGTGGGAAAGTCCTTTCTTTAGAGAAGGAAGGAAGGCATCCACGGAAGGGTACTCAAGAGAATATAAATTCAAATATTTACTCATTGTGTGTAATAATAGGTCAGCATGCTAGGCACTGGGGATATAATAGAGAAGATACAATTCCCATGTTGAATATGCTTATACTCTGTAGATGAATGCAAAAACAACAACGACCAAATAGTGTGATAAAAAGTGAGGTAGGAAAACTAGATCATTGTCCAGTTTTGGAAAAAAAAAAAAAAAAAAAGCTGAGCGTCTTAGAAGTTTTCGATACAAAGAACTAGAGTGGTAAAACGGTAGAGGTCGGGCTGTCTCAGAAATTTGTGAACTAAATACAATAGTACATTTATATAGTTCTTCCAGAATTTCAATATCTTACTATAATTTTCTAATTTAAAATTGTGTAATTTGTTCAGAAGAAATAGGACACTTTCCTCTAGGTTTTATTGCTTATGTCTAATATACGTGTTTCACTACACTGTACACTGATAGGTATTTGTCATGTGGCAGGCACTTCCTAAATTAAAATTGTGAAATCCTCATAATTAGTACTCATAATCAGTACTAATAGCCCCGTTTTATGAACAAGAAAATTAAGGCCCAGAAAAATCATCCCTGCTTTTGTTGTTGTTTGAATCAAATCTCATGCTCTCCTTTAAGTCTCTGCATCTTTATATAATTTTTAAAATATATTTTCATTTTTTATTGTGTATGAGTGTGTATTGGCACATATATGAGAGTGGCCATGCGTGTAGGGGTCAGAAGACAACTCTGGGGACTTGGTTCTCTCTTGTTTTGTTTTGGAGGTGGTCTCTCTTACTGTTCCTGATGCACCACTTACTCTAGGCTAGCTAGCTAGGTTCTGGGTGGTACTTCTGTCTCCACATCTGGCTTTTCACATGGGCTTGGGGGGTTGAACTCATGTCACCAGCTTTGCACCACAGTCACCTTTACCCACAGAACCATCTCAATGGCCCTATGTCTTTTTACATAAAATAGTGTTAGTTCTAACCTCTTCAAATTGCTTTGAAAGTGATGATGGTACATGGAAACTCTCTAGAAATGTTCTCACACAAAATAAAGTCGTAAGTAGCTATTGTTGCATGGTATTTGTTCAGCTTATTTGCACTTCTAAACGAAAGTCTATTTTTGCTATGATTTGAACTTTCTTTTCAATTCTGGGTCTTCTGTATTTTATTTCTCTTGTATAGGAGTCCCAGCTCACAAACAAGGAGGTCCATTAGCTTTAATAACCCATCAAAAACTTCAGGGAAAGGAGGATATGCTGGCATAAATCAAAGCAGATTGGGCGCGTCAAAAACTATGCTTTCGGTACCCGAGATGAAGCCTGCAGAAAAACTGAGTATTACTGTCACTAAGACAATACAGGTAACATTCTTTTTTTTTTCAAGACATTATTGTTATGTTTAATTATTTAATTTCTGTATATGCATGCATGGGCGCGTATGCCCTGGCATGGGTGTGGAGGTGTGAAAACAACATTGGAGAGCTGTTTCTCTTCTTCTACCATGTGGGTTCTTAAGATGAAACTCACATCATCAGGCTTGGTGGCAAACACTCTTATCTGCTGAGCCATCCTGCTGGCCTCACCGCTAACCCTTTTTAGAATTCTAAGTTTTGTGGTTTTTTTTTTTTTAAGATTTATTTGAAATTATGTGTGTGGAGGTATGCACACATGAAGATAGGTACCTTGTGAAGAGGGTATCACATTCTCAGGAACTAGAGTTACGGCAGTTGTGAGCTGCCTGATACGGATTTTGGGGACTAAACTTTGGTCTATTGCAGGAACAGTAGTACATGCTCTTAACCCCACTGAGCCAGCTGTCCAGCCCCTGAGTTTATTTCTAAATAACTCTAATCTACCTCCTCTTGGCAACTGTCAAGAGTTACAGATTGACTGTTGTTTTTCTCCCAAACTCCAGTACAGTTGTCCTTGAGTTTCAGTGTGTGCCAAGGTTAACGTGTGATGGTCACAGAACAACTTGCTGGAGTCAGTTTCCCCCTTCTAAGAATAAAAAAAAAGCTGCCTCACTGCTGCAACTGCCAAAAACTTTTGTGGGCATTTGAAATGCTGTCTGTGGCTCAGCTGGTCCACATGTGCAAATGCCTGAGAATATACCTGAAGATACTTCTATGTAAATGTTTATCGAAGCAATTTTCACTGAGCCCTAAACCTGGAAGCAGTTCATCAAATCTATTAAAAGTAAAGCTGATAAAATTCTGTGTAATAGCTGAATGCATTACTTTATAACCACAGTAAACAAATAAACAACTTTACATAGATACACTTGGGAAAATAGAAAACATTGCTGAACAAAGGGTGTCAGTGTCAGCTATGATGTAATATATGACTGTAAAATTTCAAAAATAAAGGAAGCTTCCTTAACCTACATGGGAAGTACCAACTCTTGGCAAAAATCTGGAGAAATCAGACCCTTTATCTCTGCTGATGGAACCATGTGACAGCTCTATAGCAGAATCCTAAAAGTGAACATGCACATAATCTCTACTTAGAATTCCAACAAAAATTCATAAAGGTTAGCATGTCATATGCAACGGTATTTATAGCAGCACCACGTGATACATGTGCATGTGCACATGTGAGCCAGGGCACACATATAAAGGTCAGAGGAAAACTTGCAGGAGTCAGTTCTCTTCTTCCACTGTGTGGATCTTCGGACCGCTCTCAGCATCAGCATGACAAAGAGTACCTGTACCCCATGAACTGCTACACTAGCCCAGCAGCACCATTTGAAAGCCAAAACAGCTGGGAAGTCGTGGCGCAAGCCTTTAGTCTCAGCACTTGGGAAGGAGCACTTGGCAGAGCCCTTTGAGATCGAGGCCAGCCTGGTCTACAGAGTGGGTTCCAGGACAGTCAGGGCTACACAGAAAACCTGTATCAAAAGAACCAAAAAAAGAAAAAGAAAAACAAGTGGAAAATAACATAAATGCCCATGAATAGCTAGATGAAACATGATGCATTAACACAATGAAATACTATATAACAATGAAGTGAATAATCTGTGGCTATAGCCAGTAATACAAATGAATCTTACTTGTATAATAATGAACGAAAGAAACCAGTATCAAAGACTACATTTCATAGAGCTTCATCTAAATAAAGCTTACAGGCTAACCTAGTATGTGGTGTCAGGGTAATTAATTACTACTTTGGATGGGAGAAACTAGATCTTCTGAATGAAAGTTCTGTGATACTAGTAAATTTCTGTTCCTAAGTCTGATTGTTGAGTGCAACAATGCTGTTTGGTTAGAGAATTCACTATTCTATGAAAATTAAAAAGAAAATAAACTACTAATGATATTAAACAAAGCTATGGACAGGAAGAAGGAAGAGGATTGTAAATGTGAAGTAATTAATAATTATTGCTGTGGGGAGAAAGGTTTTGATCCATATGAACCAAGGACAAGGAGTAGCGCTGGAGGTAGGGGGCTACCAGTGTTTTACTATTTTATTTAAATAGTAAATATTTACATTTTTATATTTTTGTATAACTATAAAATCAAACTTTGTAATTGAAGGGAATAAAACTGAGACCAAATATGTAATAAATAATTTAGGAAATATTAGTAGAAGGCCATTAAAATATTTATTTAAAGACAATTTCAGTGAAATGATAGGATGTATGCACACTTACACACAAAAATCATTAACCTTCCGCTGTATCAGTGACAAGCAAACTGAAAAAAATTGCAAACAATCCCATTCACAGTAGCTCTCAAAAAGTGTCTTGGTATAAACCTAACCAGGGATATAGAAGATCTCTATAATAAAAACTTTAAAACACTAAAAAAAAAAAAAATTGAGGAAGACAGGAACCAAGTACATGGAAAACCTGGCTATGCTCATGGATGGGGAGACTCACTGTTGTGAAAATGCTTATCTATCTTTCCAGAAGCACTCAGCCCAATTCCCATAAAAATCCCCAGGTGGTTCTTCACAGAAACGGGGAGAATAACTTTCAAATGTATGTAGAAGCATCAAAGCAAATCCTGAGCAACAATGGCACTGCTGAAAGTCTGCCCATACCCAATTTCCATCTATACTGCAGAGCCCTAGTGTTACAAACAGCATGGCACTAGCCAAAAACACACACACAGGTCACTGGAGTAGAATAGAAGAATAGAGACCCAAGTGCAAGCTCATACAGCTGTAGCCAAATAGTTTTAACAAGGGAAAAAAAAAAAAAAAAAAAAAAAAAAAAAAAACCGCACTGGAGAAACGATAGCCCCTTCAACTGCTGGAGAAACTGAATAGCTACATGTAAAGGAATGAAACAAAACCATCTTGGACAAAACTCAACTCCAAATGGATTGATGAGCTCAACATAAGACCTGAAATTCTGAAACTGTTGGGGGAAAGTGTGGTTTTTGATTATGATCTAATAAAGCTTGCCTGAAGGTCAGAATGCAAAACTAGCCACAGCCATAGAGGCCAGGCAGTGGTGGTACATACCTTTAATCCCAGTAGCCACACTAGTTAGCCATAGAAACTGGGTTGGTGGTGGTGCATGCCTTTAATCCCAGCTCTAGAGAGGAATATAAAACAGGAGCTCAGGGTTTCAGTGTCTAGTCAGACTGCAGTCACTCTGAGGACAGGATCTCCCAGCCTTGGTAGAGCTAAGAAATCTCTGGTAGTTGGCGACTTTGCTTTTTTTTTTTTTTTTTTTTTTTTTAAATCTTCAGCTTGAACCCCAGTATCAGTTTCTGGGTCTTTATTGTTCATGCTACAGAAAAGAGTAGGAATTTTACCTCAAGATGCAGGCATAGGTAAGGATGTTCTGGATAGGGTTAAAATCACTGAAGAAATGAGGCCAATAGTCAACAAATGGAATCTCCTTATGTACAGCAAAGGAAAACTGTCAAGTGAGTGAAGAGGCAGCAATAAAATGGGGGACAATGTTTGCCAAATATTCATCCAACAGAAGGTTAGTATCCAGCATATACAAAGAAGTCACAAAACTAATTATCAAGAAAACAACCCATTCTAAAAATTAGGGCTGGGTATATGGAACTGAACAAGGACTATTTTTTTAGTTGGGAGATTTGAATTACTGTTTCAGTCTCACTAGCTTTCATTGATCTGCTTAACATATTGTTCTCCTCTTGTTTTAATTTGTACAAACTCATCCATTTCTTTCTGATTTTCCAGTTTAGTGGAGGATATATTTTCAAGATAAAACATGATGCTGTTTTGAAATTTATTGGTATCTCTTGTAATTGTTCCCTTTTCATCTCTATTTTTGTTTGGTTTTGCTCTCTTTTGATTAGTTTAGCTAAGACGTAGGCAAATTCTGTTCATCATTTCAAAGAACCAGTACTTTCTCTGTTTATTTTTTGGGAGAACACCTGTCAGTTGGTGACAGTGGGGTATTGAAGTCGCCCACTGTGCTTGTACCAGGACTAATTTGTGGCTTTGCATGGACTAGTAATTGTTTTATGAAATTGGATGCCCCTGCACTAAGGGAGTCTATGTTTAGATTATAATGGCCTCCCGATGGATTGTTCCCTTAGTATACAGTGGCTACCTCTATCCCTTCTCAGGAGCTTGGGTTTGAAGTCTTTCAGAACAGCAACATCTGTTTGTTTCCCAGGTTTATTTTCTTTCAACACCTTTCCCCCATCCTTAAGGTAGATCTCTTTTGTGTTAGGTGGGTTTCTTGGAGGCAGCAAATATACAGACAGTTCCTGCTCTTTGATCCAGTCTGCTACTCTGTGCCATCTGACTGGGGGAGTTGAAGCCATTAATTGTCACAGTTACTATTGAAAGATGTGTGCGCTCCCTGTCATTTTGTTGATTTTGTAATGTTTAGGTTCCCCCCCCCATTAACTATTATTCTAGCATGTTTTTCCCCCTGTGGCCTTGTGGATGGATTTGTTTTCTCTTCAGTCCGAAGGATTTCTCATGTGTTATTGTTGTTGTTGTTGTTATTATTATTATTATTATTATTATTATTAGAGATAAGGTTTCTCCGTGTAACCCTGGCTGTCCTGCAACTCACTCAGTAGACCAGGCTAGCCTTGAACTCACAGAGATCTACCTGCTTCTGCCTCCTAAGTGCTGAGATTAAAGGCATGCACCACCACTGCCCAGGACTTTATTTTTGTAGGACTGGCATGGTGATCATAAATTCCTTTCATCTGTTTTTTTTTTTCCCCCATGGGTAGTTTTCATTTTTCCTTCAATTATGGTAGTCTCTATTGCAGTGGTGGTTCTTAACCTTCCTAGTTTTGCAACCCTTTAATGCAGTTCCTCATGTTGTGGCAACCCCCGTAAAATTATTTTTGTTGCTACTTCATAACTGTAATTTTGTAACTGTTATGAATTACAATGTAAATATCTGATATGCAGGATAGCTGCTAGATGACCCCTAAAAGGGTCAAGACCCACAGATTGAGAACCACTGCTTTATTGGATTTGTTTTGTTTCAGAACTTGTAATAGATCTGTCTCAGCCCTTCTGGCCTTTAACTTTTAGCTGAATGGCCTGCTGTCACTCTGATGAGCCTGTCCTTGTATGTGTCTGGGAGTTGCTCTCTTGATGCTTTTAATACACTTTCTGTACCTGCCTTCCATTTACTTCTGTGTATTTAGTGTTTTAATTCTGATATGATGAGGGGAGACTCTGTCATGTTTTTGTCTGTTTGCTGACTTAGCCTCCAATATCCATGTTGGCATTTCCTTGACTAAAGTTGTCACAGTTGACCCTTTACAGAGTGTTTTCTATGGTTTGGTCACTAGTTTCTTCTTCTGTGTCTATCATCCATACACTGGCGATTTCTGACTGGCCCTTGTATCTCAGAATTCTCACTAGTGTATCTTGGCTCCTGTTTGATTCTAGTTCCATCACCTTGCCTTCAAGCTGGCTGTTCTGTCATCTCCTTGTCCATTCTATTGGTGAGCCTTCCCACAGGCTTTTTGTTTGGCTTACGTTTTTCATTTTTACAATTTCAGATTGGTTTCAACTTGGTATTTCTAGTTCTTTATTGAAGTCTTATTTCATCTCTTGTAGCACCTTCCTTATTTCATTCCTATGTTTATGCTCAAAATCAGGAGCTTATTTTCTTATTTAAATGTACATACTTTCTTTCAACTTTGATGGTTGTGATTTCTCATGCCTTACTCTTGTTAGATGCCATTACTGTAGAATCCATAACCTTTTGGGTGAGTTGTGTTGTGTTGGTTGCTTTGTTGGGATTTACATATCTGGTGTTATTTAATCTGCCACACATTTTTTTTCAATTAAAGTATTGCTATATTCATGTGGAATTTGGATGTGATACAGTGAAGTGTCTAGTTCAGCAAATAGTTCCTCAGTCCAGGAGCTGAGTGCTTGGTGTAAGGCACTGTAATATGCCCTGGCCAGAATATTAACTGCAGGAGCAATCACAGCTGCTTGAAACTCCCACTCTGCAAATATCATACTAGCCAGTTAGTCACATTGGTGCCTTTGATTTCAGTAACCATTGGAGGATAAATAATCAAGGATAATATGGCATATACTCAGGATTAAGTATTGATCAGACTTGGAAAAGGAAAATAAAAAACAAGCTAACATTTCCAGATCATATCTCTGTGTTTATTACTTATATATAGGCAAATGAGTAAGATTTTTTTTTATTTTCCTTAATTAAACTTCAAGCATAAAACTTTGTATTATTCAAGTTTTCATGTTTAAATTGTTGTAAGAACATTATACTTAATATTTTTCTGCTATATGTATTTCTGTTTTATTGTCTGGATATTCACTTTAAATTGCTGTTTTCCACAGGTGTTTGATGCAGCAGGCGTTGATGTCACTCCCCGTCCTCTCTACCATCCAGATCCACTTGTTGGAACAGCAAAGCCAAATAAACTCTTGACGTCACAAGAAGGATCACTCACATCAGATTTTATTTCTTCATACAGCCTGTATCAAAATACAATCAACCCTAGTATGCTAGGGCAGTTCACAAGGTGAAGTATACTCATCCTGGTTCTTTGGATTTCATTTATATTGTTCTTTCATTTATATTGCATAAATTCAGAATATATGTTTCCAGTTTTCTAACTTCAATCTATCAATCCTAGTGTTCTAGCTTTTATGTTTTAATTACATTTATGTTCAGAACTTGACTGAAGATTTCCCACAAATTCTAAAACATTGTGAAAAGTGTATATATTTTACTTAAGATTGCCCAAAAGGACTAACTTCACAGTCGGTTGCAAATTCCAATTAGATGGTTTGGCCCAGTTTCTTTAGGGTTTTATTGCTGTCATTTAAGGTACAGTGCAGTCACACACTGTTCTAGGGCCTGCACTCAATTCACACACAAAACATTTGGAATGCCAGATTAAAAACAACAGATCTTCCAATAAAGTTGACCTCTTGGTAAGCAATTGAAAGCATAAATGTAAGACGTTACAGAGTAATGTTACGATCATTGGTTTAAAATTTATTTTTGAATTCATGTGTCCATTTCCTGCTGTAAGTATATACATATACATACATACATACATACATACATACATGCCATGTGAAAACTTTCCCTATGGAGATGTTGCACACATCCACGCACCCCAGAAAGGGAACCCATAACTGACCAAACTAATGTTTATACCAAAGTCCAGTGTGATGAAACTTGAGTTTTTATCGGCTATACTAACAGGAGTGGGGGTGAAGGGTTGCTTACAGGAATTGGGATGACTCAGAAAAGCATCTGCATCACAGCAAAGCAGACCCCACATGGTAACCACAAGCCACACCCCTGCTCTCTCTGCTGGGCCTGTAGGCAGCTCCACAGCCCCAGTCTCTTCCCTCCACAGCTCAGCTGCTCAGTTTCCTCCCCAGCACTTGTTTACTCCTATTAAGCTGGTGGGGGAGGGGAACCTTTGAGGCTCTTCTAAGTTACTGTTTCTGACCTTTTTTCACCTCCTGAGTCTTAAGAACTTTCCCCCACCCCCTCTTGTAGGTAAGGTTTCCATTTGTACAGTGTAGCTATGTCTTCAGTTACCTTTGGAGAGGAGGAAATGCTACACAGTGTAGCTGTGTCTTGTTACGTTTCAGGAGGACTTTGGTAAACTGAAATTTTGAGATGGATTGTGAAGAATGTGCAGAAGAGTGTTCTTGGCTGAGCCCTTAAACAGATTCCCAGGATGGAGGCACTAAAACACCCAACAACAAAATGATGAAAAGTGATAATGAAACTGGAGGCTGATAGGGGGCTGTATTATAGATATTTATTCAAAATATACATTGGGAATATATCCTGTGGGTATAGATTTGATATGTTATTCTAAAATAAACCTTCACTTTTTAAAGAACGTGAAAAATCAACTGAAGACTTAAAAGTTATTCTGATTTACGTTGCTTATATGACTAGTATATTTGGTTTTTCCACCTGTTGAAATAGTTTAATTTACCCTTTTAGTTTCTCATAAGGACATTGAACAAATGTATTAATAACTTTCAAAGGTCAGTTCTGGGGAGCAGCACAGTGTCGAAATCAAGTGTGTCCACAACTGAATCAATGACAGAGGACCTAGAAGAACCAGCTTACAAGAGGGAAAGACTGGCCAGTTTTACAGGTAATAAAAACGTTTTTTTAATCTCACAGTTTTAAACCACAGTATTTTCAGTGGTTTAATTCCCCACACTGAAATTGTCATTGTTTGTAATATTTGTAAAAACCTAGATTATTTTGTCACAGTTTGTATACCATTTTAAGATTCGTTTCTTAATTGTGCCTGAAAGTAGATTAAAAGGAACTGAGGACCTATCTTAGTGGGGGAACATTTGCCTATATGGAAGGCCTCAAGTTTAGTCATTAGCAATACCTTCCCTCCCCTCCCTTCCCTTGTGTGTGTGTGTGTGTGTGTGTGTGTGTGTGTGTGAGAGAGAGAGAGAGAGAGAGAGAGAGAGAGAGAGAGCTAGAGAGAAATCTCATTTTTCCTGTACATGTGCATACAAGTCAACACTTAGAAATCATTGTCATTCTTTTTTAAGTGTTTATGTGTATGTCTGCAGAATATGATATGTGTGCAGTGCCTGAGGAGGACATCAGATCCTCTGGAACTAGAACTACAGACCGCCATGGGTCTTTATCTACTTGCTAGGAACTAAACCTCAGTTCGTCTGCAAGCGGTAGTACTTAATGAGCGTATTTCCAGCCTCTCACCCTTTACTTTTTCCTGAGTTGCCAAATACACAATCAGTCTTTACACAGATAAGGGTCTGTTTGTAAAATAATTGAGTGCTTCACTCAGCTTTGCATACTGTCCTTCAATAAAAGAAACTAGGGCCCTTAAAGAAAGAGCTGAATTCCGAGCCTTAGGCATCTATAAGATGAGCAAGAAAGTAAAAAAGTACTTGAACAAAACCCTGCCTCTCCCCATTCCCCAAAAGGAATGACAGCGACACAGCAGCCATTAGTGTTCCCATTAGCCAAAGGTAGACAAGTTTGACAACAGAAAGTATAGTGCTGGGTTATAACTCATTAACAATATCCAGGAAGCCATACTTAGATATATGATAAAGGGTAGAGTAGATAGAATCCTTTAGAGAAGAGTTCTAAATCCTTATGTAAATGTTTGTCCTTCAAGGTGGAGCTTTCCTAGCCTCTTAAATGTGGGCTTTGCATCATGGCTTTTTCCAGATTGTAGTGTATGAAAACAGATACCCGACTCAGCTAAGTGGGGATGATATCAGCAAGAAGTCGGGTTGATAGCTTTGATATGCAATAAGATTAGACTTTGCAGCCGGGTGGTGGTGTCACATGCCTTTAATCCCAGCACTCGGAAGGCAGAGGCAGGCAGATCTCTGTGAGTTCAAGACCAGACAGGTCTACAAGAGCTAGGTCCAGGACAGCCTTCAAAGCCACAGAGAAACCCTGTCTCGAAAAACCAGGGAAAAAAAAAAGTTTAGACTTTAGACTTTGCTCCTCTGTTTCCTTCCAGAAATCTGTTACCCGTGACCCACATCAGGCAATCCTAAATGGAAGCATGTTCCCCATGCTTGACCAATACTCCTCAGTCTTCTAACACAGGCAACGGCCACAGTCTAGGAAATCCTAAGGGACAGGATGATCAAATGTGGTGTTTTGGCTGATGTTTTGGAATAAAGTCTGACTTTTTAGAAGGCATTAAAAATGAAGCAGACTAGAATAAAAACTGGGCTTCAGATGGTGAAGTATCACGACTGGTTCATTAGTTGCACAAGGTACACCATAGGAATGTTGACTGCTGGGGACGACCAAGTTCAGGTTGCACACAAACTAATATTCTTACAAATGTCCTACACCTTGAACTATTCTAAAATGAGAAAATTACTCAACTATCTTGAAATCTTTCCCAAGCCTTCTGGGTGTTCTGATGCATACACTTTTCAGAGCCAAAAGGAGGCTGATGCTCAGAAACACTTGGAGTTTTTCTTTTTTCTTCTTTTTGTTTTTTTGTTGTTGTTGTTTGTTGTTGTTGTTTTGTTTTGTTTTGTTTTTCGACACAGGGTTTCTCTGTGTAGCTTTGGAGCCTATCCTAGCACTCACTCTGGAGACCAGGCTGGCCTCGAACTCACAGAGATCCGCCTGCGTCTGCCTCCCGACGTGTGCCACCAATGCCCGGCCACTTGGAGTTTTATTTGTATGATGGAGCAGCTTGTTAGGCACAGGCTGTCGCTCACTCAGCATGGAGATATATGAGTAATAGGTACTTGTACATGAACTCATAAAGTACGTGTGGTTAGCACATGTGCATTTGTGTGAGAGAGAAGCACCATTCTGTAACGCAATCTGATTGTAATTGCACTGAACTCATTGTAGCTAAACAACAGCTTAATCAGGGCTTCATGGATTGTTCCTTACTGAGGTCTCTTTTTGTTTTTTCGAGACAAGGTTTCTCTGTGTAGCAGCTCTGGCTGTCCTGGAATTCACTCTGTAGACCAGGCTGACCTCGAACTCATAGAGATCCACACCTTGCAGGAGTGCTTGGATTACAGGTGTGTGCCGCCACCGCCTGGCCTAAGGTTTCTTAAAGTGACCAGATAATATATCTTTTTCTTTACTCGTTTCTGAATTAGTTGGAAAACTTAGGGTAAGGGCAGATACACTGGAAACAAACAGTGCATTATGAGTAAAAGTACTTTTGAAGTTCCAAAGTTGACTGGGTCTCACCCTTTCATGAAATGTTGTAGACCACTGCAGAGTCCTTCTGGTTCCTCCGGAGGGACTTCCTGTGTGAACACGTAAAAGGGAGCCATGATTTATATACACAGCTGGAGATCTCTTGAAGAACATCATGAGTGGAGAAAAATGTGCTTCCTCCATCACTGAATGCAAAAAGTGCATTGATAGGTTTCTAGGCAGAGATGCAAGTGTAGTCTCCACCTACTGGAAGACTAGTCCGGAGCCGGTGATATAAAGATTCCATAGGTACATAATGCTGCTGGAAATTGTTTTTATTATGTATCAAATTCAGGTGACATTCAGGAGATGATAGACCTACCTGCACAGAATCCATTTGCTGTTCCTCTGCCATTAAGAAGACTTATTTTTGCTGGGTGGTGGTGGCATACACCTTTAATCCCAGCCCATAGGAGGCAGAGACAGGTGGATCACTGTGAGTTGGAGGCCAGACTGGTCCGCAGGGCAGAAGCCCTGTCTGGAAATCCAAAAAACAAACCAAACAACAACAATAACAACAACAAAAGACTTATTTTCCCCAACTCTAATATATAACTGGTACTGTCACATTAGATTCTGTATGTGTGCCATATCTCATGTGAGGTTGTTTTTAGAACTACGTCTGTGCTGCAAGGCTACTTTATATATAGCCGAGTCATTAACTGACATCTGATGGCCTAAAAGAGTAGGCAGAGGATCAAGAGCCTGTTCCTTTCAGTCTCAAACTTTCTGGTGTTCCTGTGGAGCCTTAGACATCTTACTCTTGCCTGTTGTCTTCATTGATGCTGTAGGAAATATGGATCTCAAAGCTGTCTGTGTAGATAATTCGTTTGCTTCTTTTTTGCTTATCCTGTCTTACCCGGATTTACTATTGCAGAACAGTATTTTTAAAGAATCATTAAGACGGGACTAGCAATTAAACCCTTCCTTTTTCCTGACCTTTATTTAATGTCATTGTAAGTACACTGTAGATTGTGTTTAAATTCTTCATTTAAAATTGTAGCACAAACATTTCTACAGTATCTTAAAAATACATTTATTAGAATTTCATGCATGGATAAGAATGTGTTACTATACTGTATGTACTATATGCAACCATTCCCGATGCTGGCACTTTTTTTTTTTTTTTTTAGAGACTTGTGCTTTTTTTAGATTTTAGGAAGTATTTTTTGCAGATCCTGAGCATTAGGGAGTACTGAGTCTTCATCTCTGCGAAGTGTTAAACTCTTGCTTCCTTGTCAAACTTTACCCGTTACAGTCTTATGCATCCCTGATTTCTCCTCTTTTGTTAAGAAAAGTACACTGAAGCCTGGTGCATGCCTCTAATGCCAGTACACTGGAGGTGGAGACAGAAGGGCTGTGAGTTTGAGTCCAGCCTGGGCTACATAGTGAGGTCCTGTCTCAAAACCTCAAACCTATTGAACCCTGATTTGTATGCCACATCGAGGCTGTTTCTTGCCTGTAACCCATCCCAAGCTTCCTCAGCTCTGAAATTCTATCCTTAGTAATATTCTCCTGGGATATCAGAACCTCTCACTATTCTAAAGGTTTTGACTAAGCTTTTTTTTTTTTTCTTTTCAGTTAATTTATTTTATTTTATTTTATTAGTTCAAATTAGGAACAAGCTTGCTTCAGATGTCAATCCCTTCTCCCTCTCCCCTTCTTCCCCCCAACATCCCACCTGCCCCTAACCATCCCCCCTCCACTCCCCAGGCAGGGTAAGGCCCTCAAAAGGGGCTCTCCAAAGTCTACCACATCATCCTGGGCCAGGCCTAGGCCCTTCCCCATGTGTCCAGATCAAGAGAGCATCCCTTCACAAGGGATGGGCTCTCAAAATCCCTTCTCTCTCTTTTTTTTAAGACCTTACATATTTAATACAGTGTGTTACCCCTGTACAAATGGAAAAAATTAAGTTCAACATGTCTAGACCAATATGGCTGTTAATTTTTGTACAATGCCAACTCAACACAGTAAACTGGGATACTTTTTTCCAAAGTTGACAGCACAGCTAAAGTTTCCAAAAATTCAATATATATATATATGAAAAGACCAATAATGGCAGTATGTTATGCATCAATAGCAGCAACAGCTTTTTCCAGGTTCTGCAGTCAATTGAACAAAATTGTAGAGACATACAGCACTCTCCATTTAAAAAAAATGTAAAAAACAAAATTCCAGAAAAAAAGCACAGTTCTGTTACTCTTGTGGTACCTGGCACCATTTTTTTTTTTT